TTTAGAAATTATGCCTGCGTACAAAGAAATTCTAAACATTAATATTGTTGGCGAGGTCAACCCTGTCACTGTAAAACCAACGGAATTGAAAACAGTAGCGGGATGTTAGTTTAGTTTTGGCAAAGCGCGGCTTGTACTTTTATCTGGTTGGGAGCTCTACGACTGACTTGGGCCATATAACAAGATTTGTTTGGAACAATACTGGTAATGGTCAAGACCACGGAATGTTGCTGATGAGAAACTCAGAGTTATAAGCACCGCGCTCGCCTCAAAATTCCGTACTTTAAATGCAGTCTAAATTCTTGTTCCAACCAGCCGTGTAAGGAAATCTTGCCAAACAGAATTTCCCCATCAAAAGCTGGTTAGTACAGTGTCGTCGAAAGTAATCTTCTACAAAAATACCCAGAAGCCCTGCAGCAAGTCGACCCATTGCACAGCCGACCGCAGTGATCACCAACGCCGTGCCTTTGTCACGTGATTTGGCAAAGCATTCGGCGGCAGAGGAAAGTGCTCGCACCGTGATGGACGATGTTGAAATGCCAAGAGTAACACATAACACCAATATTGTATAAACACTTGGGACGAAATGATTCCATGAGGCAAAGAGAAAAAATATCAGATGACCTATATGAACCAGGACAAGAACCCAGATATTCCGACAGACAAAATTGCTGAGCTTGGGACAGAGACGTGAAGCCAACATCAACTCGATTCCTCCAAACATTCGTCCAATGCTGCTAGTAAATCTGTAGTACTGGTAATGGTCGCGAACACGGAATGATGCTGATGGGAAGGTCAGGGTAGTAAGCACCGCACTGACGCACAAATAAAAGGTAAAAAAAGCGACGAACGCATAGCTTGCTAATGGGAAGACCTTCAAAAAGAATTGAAGATGGTCGCTTGACTGCAATTGATCTTGTTTGTCGGGCTGCGTTTCCTCTAAGGATAATGGTTCGTACTCACGACTATCTTTGTGTTCGTGTTTTTGGTATTTCTTCAAGGGGCCATGGTTCAGTATTCCATAGAAAATCATTATCAAAAATCCAAGTGGTAATAAGAAGGCGATGGTGGTTCGAGGTGAAACGCATTGCCACACTGTTGAACCTACGAAAATGAGCCGAGATTAAATGAGAAAAATATTGGTCTAGATGTAAACTATAATGCCACATGTATTTACTTTCAAGTTTTTAGAGTTTGATAAGATAAATAATCAATATCATCAATTGATTGTACTGACCAGTGTAAAGAAATGCTCCCAATACGTTCGACATACTCTGTCCCAAGATGAATGCAGTCGAGTTCTTATCTATTTCATCATAGTAGCCCAACAGCAGCATCAGTACAGAATTAGCCAAGCCATTTCCAATACCAAAAATGCACACTCCACCAAGTCTAACCACCACATCGTCAGCTGCGAGGAATAATGCGTATGCTATAAACCAAAACAAGCCAGCGAGAATAATAGTGATGAGAAATGAGATCTTCCTTATCAAACAGGGACTGCATACTCTAGCGAGCGTGTCCGAACAATTGAAGAGTATGATCTCAATGCCGGACTGGATCAATGTTCCTGCCAAAATGTCTTGTGTGGCCATTAATAGAATCACCCTCGGGAGAACTTGGGCTGTGCCGTAGCAAAATACACATAGAGCGACGAGATTAGAGTTCTTCATGGCCATMTTTCCCTATTGAACTGAAATATTAATTTGAAATTATTCTATATATGCTTTTGAAGTTTTCAAAGGTAATCTTAAATTATTTTCAATAACTCGATCGCCGGAGTTCTCCTTTCYATTTCGTATCAACTTGATCACTCTTAAAAATGCATATAATGGTTACCATTGTACGTTTGGCTTGCAACATAACTGATCGCTGACAAAAGAGTAGYTTTTAAAGCAAGAATTAAGTCACTTACGTTTCACTCCTTAATCCAATCACTCGTCTTGTTCTTGTTCTTTGTTTTTTTATTTAGGTTGTTGCGGTTCTTGATATTGTATACTAGTATAAATAGTATCAAGAAGTAACAGAAACAACGTACTCAGGATTTTAAGACACGAATCTTTGTTTGCTTGATATGGTAGAAAATTACAAGACCAAACTCGGCAAGACAAGGCAAGAGTTTGAATAATTATTGATATAAAGCTCTTCGCTGGCCAATTGACTGTGACCGGGACTCACTATTACACGCAAACGACAAAAACGTGAAATAGCTAAACGTAATTGAAAAATACTCTTACCGAATTTCAACACGAAGCAACAAATTGTCTTAATGATGCAGAGAGTAAATTTTTGTTGAATTCAGGCGAATGGAATACCCAGATACTTGCCATCTTAACTTTCCAAGGGCATATGCATCTTCTTAAGTGTTTAGCATATATTAACTCTTCTTAAACTTATTAAATTTATAATAAATAAATACTTAAAAACGCATAAAACTAACACGTCTAAGCTTTTTACAAAAATAAAACTTTAATTGTTATATTGCGAAAATAAATGAGTTTTTAAAAGTTTCTCGAAATTATCTTTAGTTTTTGCATTTCGTATGTTCTCTTGGAGTTTGTTCTATAAATAATTAGGCGCCGCAAAAGGAAAGCATCTTTCTCCGTGTGTCGCTGCTTAATCTTGTTGGGTTTGTTCAGTAGAGAATTGCTTGCAGAACG